CTATGAAAAACTAACATTGCAACTGAATTTTCCTGAAATCTGTTGGCCTTGTAGACAATCTTCTTTGAATTAACCAGAGGCTTCAGCTATTTTTTTATTTTTTTCAACAAGACATGTGATCTTTGCTCTTGCAAACCTATATGGTCTCTTAAAGCATAATGATATGCTTTAAGACATATTCTAAGATTATCTGACCCACACTTCAGACACAAGGGCACTGAAGCTCTCTGAGCTTATGTCCAGACTTGCTGCTGCTTTATTGATCTAAGAATGTGAACCTAATGCTTCATAGAGCTACATCTAAAATAGAAAATGGAAAAAAGTAGGATCTTGGGGAAGAAAGGATGCCTGTAGGGATTCAATTTTATTATTATGGTAAATAAATTCAAAGCCAAGAGGAAAAGTGATAGAATGACAGATATGTGCTGTGTGTTAAGCACCATAGTGACAGCATTAGCATAGCATACTAATATGAACACTTAAAGGATCCAGTGTCATATCATTTTTTATTGTTAATATAAAAAATTATTGTAGATGAAAAGCAGTCTTCAGGATGATGTATTGTAAGGAACAAGAGATCATGGTAATTCTCTACACAATCATAAATGGCATTACTGTTGCACCTTCACAATGTCATCCTGCACCTTTGTCATAGATCTCACACAGCCTCATCAACATCTCTCCCATCATCAGCCTCTCTGTCTCAAGCAGTCATGTGAAAAAACAGTTGGCAAAATTGAACTGGAACAAAGCACCGTGTCCAGATTGCATCAGCCTGAGGGTCTTGAAGGCCTTTGTTTAACAGCTTTGTGGGATTTTGCAACATATTTGTCCCAAATCAGCATAAAATACGAGGGCTGAAGAGCATATTTTACCTTATTCCAGCACCTAGAAATATGTGTTACCTTTATTTTCCCTCAACAACCACAGATACGTTCCCATTAGTTTCCTAACTTTGATCGTCCTGGAGAAATTGTTGATGATAATGTACCATCCAGGGTGTACTCTACCTTTTGCCCTTTGACTACTGGGATAGGCTTCAGTCTCCCCCCGCGTGACCCCATTTGGGAATAAGTGGGTCCGAAAATGGATTGGATGGATGCATGGATAATGATAATGTATTTAATTCATTCATTCACATTGCAGTGTTCCCTAGAAACCCTCCATTAATACATTTCTTCTCAAATGCTTTGTAGTCAAGTAAAGTAAACTAAGTGGTTATCAACAATTGGCTAGAGAGCACAGTAGTTATCACATGCTGTGCTGCTTTCACATCGTTTCAGAGACATCATACGGTGCTTTGTCTCTTCCCTGGGCAAAGGGTTAAGCAAAGGTATTATGTATTTACATAATCTTCGTCCTCAGAACAGCTGACCTCATGTTCAGATTATCCCATTTGTTATGGGACATGTGTTACCGGCTCTCCCTTACTTTGTTGTACCTCTTTGTGCACTGGGTCAGAAATGGTTACTTTGTTAGATTAGATATAGCTATTTTAATGTAGAGATTACAGTTACTTAATGTAAATGTAAAATGGCCAATAAGCTGAATAGATTTATTAAATGTTTTTAGATCAAATCTCACCCCACCCCCATCTCTAGCCATTACACATTCATATAATTATTATTACATATGTCACTTAGCCCACATGAAGCCAACCTCTGTTAAGATGAGGAGTTAGTGTGGCTGTTTTAGTGAAAGAGTTTTGGTTCTGTTCAACCTAGCAATGGCTTGCAGAACACCCTTTTTAACCTCTTATAATTTATTAAAGAAGCCCAACTCACAAGGCCAGGCGACAAGGAGGGTGTTGTAAATATTAAAAGGAAGACTTTGCTCAGCTATTCTTCAATATTAAATTATGCATAGAAGAATGTATATGGCCCTATTAAAACATAATGTCCTCTTAAGTCGAAATTCATCTGTTTGTTTTCCTTGTTAATCTTTATCCCAATTAAACGTATAAATGTTAAGATTCTAGAGTGTCTCAGTCTTTCTGCGAGTGCTGTTTAATTGGACATTTTAAAATAAAATAAGTATGATCTAATAGGCTATTATTTCATCAATTTTGTGCACTGCCTATTCCTAGAAAAGTTATGGGAGGGGCTGGAGCCCACCCCAGCAGTCAATCATTGAGAGGCGGGGTACAACCTGGACAGGTCACCAGTCCATCACATTCCCACATGGAAACTAACAGCCCCCTCATTAACCTAACATGCATGTGTTTGGGTGGAGAGATGAAGTCAAAGTACCTGAAGAGAACCCACACATGCAAAGGGTCAACTAGCTACAAACTCCACGCAGAAAGGCCTTCAGGAATTCGTACCAGTGACCCTGATGTGGTGAGGCGATGGTGCTGACCAACAAACCACCATGCTTGGCCGCTTTTACTGTTTCTCGAATATCAAGTTAATGAAATACTCCAACAAACATCTGATAGCACTGCCATAGAAATACTCCACTGTTTGGCTTGAAAGGGTGTAGCATTATAGTTCATTATTTGCCTGGTTATTCTCAGGTTTTATGTTTTAAGCTTTGGAATATCTTTTGAAACTTCCCCCTCAGACATACTTCTTTTAACACTAAAATAACCATAAAGGTGGAGTTAAGATGGATCAGAGTATCTTAGTAAAGTTTTGAAATTCAAATAAGGAAAAAAAGAAATTATATTAAAACCATGAAAATGAAAAGAAGCTGAAATAGCTGTGTTAGTTATGTTTAAGCACTACAACTGGTCTAGTCATAGCTGTTGTAGATTAAGTGTGACTAGAGGTAGATTTGGCCCCTTTTCTTATCAACAAAATCACAATATATCTTTTTTCTATTCAGCCAAATACATTTCTGTACTTATAATAGTTAAAGTCTGGTAACATCTGTGAGACCCATCCCTTGGCTATGACCATTAAGCTGCCTCAGACAACCATCTCCTCAGCATCAGAGGATGTGGTCAGATTACAGTGTATCTATTAGCACAGGAAATATTTATCCATCTTTTATGGAAGGGGAGAAGAAAATGAAATACAATGACCCTCACAATCAATTAATTGGTTTCATACAATTGTACTAATTGCTATTTGTTATAATTTTGTGGATTGAAATGTTAGTGACAGCAGTCGATTTCCTTTATAATCTCTGCCTTTCGTTTCTGGAAGGATCTTCTCCAGAATCAGTTTCATAATCGTTTTTATAGCATACATATATATATATCGGTTTCCAGCCACAGTAGCACAAAGTAGCATCACTTGAAAGAATTTATCACACTTTTCTGAGGAGCCACGGTGTTTTTTGCACACTTAATTGCACATTCAAAAGCGCTTTCCAAGTAATCACCTAAAAAATCAGTTAATAATAAAATTTTGGAACAGTTTTGGAGTGTGTGAGGAGGCAGCTGCAAGAGGCACAATCACTTCTGTGGAAAATGTGTCAGTGTTTGGAATAAATTAAACACACAGTGAGGACCAAATGGATTACCCCTTGACTTTTTGAAGTTGCATCTTTTGCCATGACTTCATATCAACATTGTATATTGTATGATCTATCAAAGAATCGGGCCACACATCCTAGAGAAAAGTAAACAGCTTTTGACTCCAAGTTCAAAGTCTTACATATCAAACAGCCAGCAGAAGAACAGCAATCAAACTGCAAGTGCGTTTGATGGTTAAGGAGAACACGCAGAAGCACGCACACACTCCTGACAGATAGAGGGGAGAAGACACAGCCGTATGTAACTAAACGCCCCAGTCCTCGCCCGGCTGGGCCCTGCCAGGGGAACATTCCTCTGCTCTCTGCTCCACCGACCAAGCAGAACTGCAGTACAGTGAAACCGCATTACTCACGTCTGTGTCTATGAGCGTGCGTGTCGGTGTGACCATGTGTTTGTCCACTGAGACGCAGTGAAGTGCGACGGCCTGGTCACTCAGGCCGTGGAGGCTTATGGAGCGAGAGCAGGCCAGCTGTTTCAATTTGGCCACATGGGCAGACACAGATAGAAGAGCACTGAAGAGAAGTGGAGGCGAAATATGGCGTGTGCTGTATGGATGTGTAAGCCATCCTTCTATCAGCGCTTTCCCTGCCCCTGACACTTTGACAGTGCCATGCTTTAGCTATCATTAGCCCACAGACACTCACAAATATACACACAAAGTGGCAGGGTTGTGTATGACATGTCGTGACACTTGAAAGATTATAATGAGATAGCGCTCCCGTAATTTCTCAGGTGTCATGGACCGGTATGAATAATACAGGCTTTTCCGTTGCCATCTCTTCAGTGCTGTCACTGTGGACTTTTTGTAGATTTGCACACAGTGGGTCCTTACACCGTGAGTGTCCTGTCCTTGCTCTTACCTTGAAAAGTCAGACTCTGAGAAAAGAAGTCAGTGTGAATAATGGAAATAAGCAATCGTAGAGGAAGGGGGGAAGCCTTTTGCAGGGTTTTGCATGAGCCATGAACAGGCAGATTCCTCACTCTTTTATGACACTTCTATCATCTGCGCTGCTTTTCAACCAGCCAGGGACCTGTAGCAACTGTCTGACATTTCTCAACAATAATTCCTCCTCTCAAAGTAGCAGAAATAGATTGATCTTTTTCTTTTTATATTTTCCATCTGATGATTTATTTACTGTGTACAGCTCTTCCTCTGCCCTGGTTTGCATGTCAGGGACCCCTCCAGCACTTGTCAGTCTGGCCATGAATTATTCACCTCTTTTTCTAAATCCCTCTTGAATTCTCATTTTCCTTCATTTTGTATGGCCAATGTGAGTCTCCCGGTGTCTCTGTCCTTCCCTATTCTAGTCTTTTTTGTGTTGTCATTCTCAGAGCATTCAGAGCTGCTCTGTCTTCAATGTATGTTATGAAAGAGGAAAAGAAGAACAGTAGTCTTAGCAAGGTTAAAGAAGAACCAAACTGGAAATTATCTTCTCTAATTCCTTTGTTTTGTCTTTATATTTTGGCTTCTTCGTCCTAATTTGCTATCGTTTATAACTGACATTTTGATCTTTTCTCTCTGGTCATTTTTTGTCCGTCTATAGATCCAAATGCCCTGGGGCAGCATGGCACTGACCATGCCCTGATCGGAGGAGTGGTCGCCGTCGTGGTCTTTGTCACCTTGTGTTTAATCATTGTTCTGGGAAGATACCTGGCCAGGCATAAAGGTAAAACCCAAATGTTACAGGACAAAGCTCACTGAAGCGGTGGTCCATGCCCTGTTACAGTGAAGTCTTTCACAAATACCATTAATGTGGCATCGTCAAAATAAATAAGAAATAAAACACATTTAGAGAGGGAAAGTTCTTTGACAGGCACTGAGACTCGTTCCCTCATTCATGTCAAGAATTGTCATGTATTTGCCTTCATGTCAAAAGTAAAATACATGTTTTCTTAGTTAATGTTGGAATCTGAATGATCCTTTAATGTAAAGATATGTTTTTTTTATTGAAACAAATGTAAATTGATTTAACTTCCGTGTTGGCTAATTAACACTTTAAAATGGCATGTGTGGCACATCTGGCTTAAACAGCTCATGCAAATCTTATGCAGAAGATAGTGTCAACACAATACAACAATATAAAACTTTGTCCTCGTCTGCCTTGTTGAACGAGTGTCACACTATTACAGCCGTTTTTAGACATAGCACACTACCCTAGCGTCTCATCATACTGTTTATGAATAATGAAGTATCACTGATGTTGTCTTTAGATGTGTCTTTTGCCTCTGGCAGCCAACACCATGCTGGGCAGCTCAGTATTTGTTTCTTTGAAATGGGTTTGTTTTTCGTTCCGCAGGAACGTATTTGACGAACGAAGCCAAAGGAGCCGACGACGCGCCCGACGCCGACACAGCCATCATCAACGCCGAGGGCAACCACGCACACGCAGAGGAAAAGAAAGAGTACTTCATTTAGACTGCAGAGGGAGCTGCGAAGCTCTCTCCATCTCCTCTCTGCCGTTCAGTCTCTGTATCTCGTACTCTCTTTCGGTCTCACACTTTTCTTCTTCACCTCTGGCCACTGCCTGCGTCGAGTCGTCAGGGAGCTCACAGGCATCTCCCCACACGTTTTCCAATGTTTCGACCTTTTTTCAACCCATTTTTCCCATCAGTTACACCTTTTCTTCCTCAGTTCTTTATTGCCTCATTTCTAGTTGGTGTTTGTCACAGGCAGCTGCCAGAAATTGTCCCCCTTCTCATGATTTTGCCGTCTTTTGACGTGAGTTCCTGGAAATCTGTATATGTACCATTGATTGCTTCTTACGTGACTCCTTGTTCGTCTTTTCTGCTGTTTCCCGCCAAGCAGACACGCAAATGCATATTATAACTCCTGTGCTCACAAAGACACGTCATATCTCACATCAACACGGTGCCTAAAAATACAGACGCCATTGAACTTCTGTCAATGCCTTCATGTATCGTCTGTCAATAGCAGTGTAAATGCTTTGTAGATCATTTCATTGCTTAGCTCACAGCTTTTGATTATGCGTTGCATCTTTTTTTTATTTGAATGAGACTCTGTGCTGTTTACGCCTTATACATGTCTATCACACTGAATATGGTACTTTTAGAAGATCGGCCGCTCCCAACCCCATCCCCTCCAAATAGACCTGTAATTTAACAGTTGACCCCATGTAAGATAAGAAGAAGGCTTTGTGTAACACTGTAGCAAGGTTTGTTGGATATGTGTATAATATGATTTCACTCCTAGGGTAGATGTAAGGGTAGTGTGGTTTTGTTTAGAGCAGAGAGTACACACCAAAAATGTACAAAAGACGCTAGATTAATTCCATCCAGTCAACTCGAGCAAGCATATTAAACCATTCTCCAATTCTGCTGTCCCTGTGTATTTTAGTCTGCATATACCTGTTCTATGCGGGCAAAACGCCTTCTGCATCATCTGGACAGCTTAAAGTAATTTGCAATTTAACTAAAGGGTTCAGGTGTACAGAAAAATAAGTTTCCACTCTCAGAAAGTTGTAAAAATTGTACTGAAACGACTTAAACAGTTGACTTTTAAGATTTTAGTTTTTGTTTGTGTAACTCTGAAATCACATCGAGGCTTGAAGATCCAGTGTAACGTACATCAAACCATTAGGTATTACTAAGAAAACAAAAACAGTTACAGTATGTAAAGGAAATCAAGTGCTGATTTATCTTGCGCCTCTTTCAGTCATTTTGATTGAAACAGTGGACAGCTGTCAGCAGTGACTGCTTTTATTGTTACTTTGTACAAATACGTAGATCGTTGGTTTTGCGGTTATGTATTGACTGCAAATATAAATCTGACCTTTAAATTCACTCTTATGTTTTGGTTAAATTACTGTTACCAACTTTTCACACTTCCTTTTTCCATTTGGTCAGTCAGTTTTTAGTTAACCACGCGTCCATTTCATTGCGTCTTTAAGTTACTGAAAAAGAAGAAAAAGAAAAACAGTGGTTCAAAGGCTCGATCAGCAGGGCATCATTTCGAAAACGAAAAACTGGAGACATAGAGAAGCACAAAAAATTGTCTGAATAAGTTAGTGCGTTCCTTTGCCAACAATTAGATTGCCTCGGGAACAGTTCCTGCATTCAAATGGGGAACAGAAAGATGACAAAGCTGTCTTTGATTCAGTTCTGGAGGGGAAAAAAAGCTGCAGTGCATCTTTTTGAAAATGTAAGTTAAATAATGTTTTATATAGAAATTATGTTTCTAATATTTTTGGTTTAAATTGTTAAAGCTCCCTGCTGTATATTGTGTCTGCTAAAATGTGGTTGATTGTGAAAATTACTGTTAAATTCTTAACTCCTGTATTGCTTCAAATTTGTATATTAGCCACCTTATCTATTTACTTTCTTCACGATTCATGACATAAATTAGAAGGCTTTAAAACCAGTGTGTTTTCGTTTTTTGTGCAAAGCATGCACAATGTGTAAGGACTAAACTTTGTTGATACACATTAGCATGCTTTTGTTTGGTTCCTTTTCATTATTACATTAATTTGAAATGAAGTTATTGGAGAGTGAAATACAATGAAGGTGCATTCAGTTTACAGTGGCTTTTTTGTGTTTGTTGCATGCCTTCATTTGGAAACAGTTTTCCGTTTCCAAACAGAAAACTGTAGCTATCCGCAGATTGTCAATTCAATAAAACATGCATTTTGCTCAATGAATTCTTAAAATGCTTCAGCAGAGAGAGACATCACCTTTATGTTTGTGGCAAGAAAGTCCTGACGGATTAAAACAACCATAACATATCCCAATCTTTCCTCTTTCATCTGTTTGCCAGAATTTGGCTGACTTACACTCCTGTGAAAGAGTGATAAACACCTAAAGAATATGTGCTGATTTACTTAGAGGGAGCAAATTATTACCAAGGGCAATAAAAAAGTGGGCCCAGCTGTCCCCAATTTGGTGGCCAATTTACAACATTATGCAAATAGGGTCAGGAAGCAAGGTCTTTCCCTTTGTGTTATAACTCAAGCAGCAGAGCTGGAGAGAATCACAGGTTGGAAATCATTAGGTCGATAGGAGCTCAGTCTTTGCCCGACACTTTTCATACTTCACTTTTAACACTTTGTATGGGTTTGAATTCAGAATCACCACAAACCTGTAGATCCAAACCAATGTTCTAGAACAGCTCTTTAGAAAATGTATCTATAACGTTTATGTATATACATTTAAAAGTCTTGTTTCTTTTTTCTCGGTTCATTTGTCCGTATAATGGTGTCAGTCACAATGTCAGTTGCTTTTTAGAGAAATACAGCAAATTGAGATTCTGAAGAATGACACGTAGGAGGGAATAACACGTTAAATGAACACTAAGTTGAATTACAAGGTAAACAGTGCTATTGACTGAATTATGCACTCTGACCAATTTAATGTGTTTCCTATTATTTGTTAAAATGTTTTCTTTTTCTTTTCTGAAAACCATTTGTAAATATTTGTTTTGACATGGCAGTAATGAGCTGATTTTTTTTGTTTTTTTGCAATGTGTTTTTATAATCACTAGACCAAACTTAAATCTTTTTTAGTTTGTTATTTTAATAAACTTTGTTCAGACCACCGTGCACTATTTTATCTTACAGATTAATTTGTGGAGCTCTGTTTTTATCGTAGTTATTCTTATTTGTTGCCGGTTGAAACTAAGCTTTAAAAATGATGCCTACTTCATTTCCTGTACATACTGGTTTGGTTCCACAATACCATAGGCCTCTAATTTCAACCTGGCAGCAAGTCAGTAACAGTCCTTACATACCTGCAGCGCCATTTTCATTTGGCATAAATCCATTTTCTGGTATTGTGTGTCTCTAATTTCCTGGCTCCAGACAAACCCTTTTTCCCACTCATTGTGGGACTGAGGTTGTGCATTTATGCAGATTAAGCAGTGCAAAACTGGCAGTAATTTTGCCATTAAATTGCGCACAATTTGGGAACAATTTTCAAACTGGCAAATGCATGTACAGCTCAACACAATTACAAAAAGAGACCATTTTTCTTTTCAAACAAAGGTTGTTGTTTTTTTATCCCTTAACCCAAAACAGATTTAAAATCTTCATCTGATCAAACCTGTTTGTTTTTATCATGTAATTGGATGAGTTTTATCATGATTGTTTCATACAGACAACACGAACAAACACATATTTTGATTATTGTTTTTGTTAAATTGGTGCTGCTGATAATATGTATGTTCATGTTTGACCCAATAACATGAAATCATATCTATACAACATCCAATCCAAAAATGGAAATCAGAAGTTATTTCTGAATTGTTTATCTCTTCATTTATTTACACAGGCTTGTTTGATTCTTTCACAGGGATTAGACAAGCTGGCATCATTAGCGATTATTAAGACTGCCTCATTCCGTTTTTTTTTTTTACTCACTCCAAGTGCATGCTGTTCTTTGCATCGCACTAGTTCTGGATCAAAGAGGAAATTTGAGGGGCTTTTTAACTAAGCAAACACTGATTATAGAGAATGGATCTAAGAGTTATGGTTGCTGTGGTTCATCATCTGTTTTCTCCTTCTTTGATTATAGTAGTTTACTCTTTTATTTCAATTCATTATTTGATCATATATGTATACATATCCACAGCTCAGATGATAACACAACGTGGCCTGTTTGTGTCCCCCCTCTATCCTTCTGGTCCCACGTACGTCTTCATTGTACAGTTTGGCTTTAGTAAAACTGTTTGTTCCTCTGCAATATTGGCACTAGCATCAATCAGCCCAATTTATATATGATCACAATGATAGCAACAACAGACACAATGGCATGTAGTGCTTTTCTTTCTTTTTCATATCTGTTTCTTTTCTTTTTGCATCTCAGGAAGATATTTCATATAATCTTTCTTTTGTCTGTTTCCTGTCCTTAAACTGGGGCCTGTGGGGCACTTATCACTCTAGTCCCTGTATGCTGACACCATGTATTTGTTGAGTTTAAGATCACCACCATGTTAATAAAAACAATTCAGTGATTCTTCAGTAACTTTGTCATCTCGCTGTCATTGGACCCTTAGACAGACGAAACACTCCTCTATCACCAGTACTGACTTTCAATGCTGAGATGTAGAAATATGCTGCAAATGATCATCCTAAAGGTTTGTTTAAGCAGAAATAACTTCATCGTATGGAATGAAAGCATTTCAAAGCGTTTGTTTGTTGTGTTGTTTCTGTGCAGTAACATACATCTTATGTGTATCAGTCTTCAGACTGAAGGTGATTCAAGTCACTATAACTCCATAAATACAACATTTTTACAGTAAAGACCAGGATTAAAACTTGACATATGTTAGTTCAGACCTGATGTACCATGATTAAATACGGTGTTTAATGTCAAGCTGTACATAGAAAGCTTGATTTGTTTAAGAACCCAAAATGGAGGTGTTTCTCATTGTCAGAGGGATTTATTATTCAATTTAGAGGTTTGTATGTATTAAATGAAAATTGTTGAATAAATAGTTGCCAAAACGGTTGCATAAGCCTGATTCTATTTTTAGCTCATGGTTTCCCCATGGAAGTACGAGAAATATTATTCACGTTTTTCTGATTTGGACAATAAGCTCTGTTGAATAAAAATTGGTGGTGTCCAAATCTGTTCCAGTGCCGTTGCATGCCTACTCACAGAAACTAATTATGCATCAACAATAACCGTTCATGATGTAATAATCAGCTTTGTCTAAGATGTGTTCTGTAAGATCTTCTATCTTAGTGAGGAGATGTGATTGGTCACAAAATCAAAATAAAGAGCTAAGGTAGCTGACTGTGAAAGAAAGTTTATGTAAAGAATTTATAAAACACTCGCAGGAAATAGACCAGTATATTTTTACAGTTTCACTATGCGTTCTCTTCTGTAATAAACAGTCATTAAACAGCACATTATCATATCATCACAGCAAAACAGCAGGCTTATTATGTTTTCGCAATATTTTCCACTATAGTTTATTTACCAAGGGTAATAAAACCAAAGCAGTACAATATTTCATTTTGTTAAGGAGTAACCCAATACATACACATAAAAATCCAATACCATCATTACTTTACCAAATTGCATGCACTGGACTTATTGTATTCCACTAAAGTCTCAGAAGAATCTATGACGATCAGGCTGTTTCTGCATTTAATCCCCGTGGAGACAATTTACCTTTATTTGCAGAGTGCAAATGTCATGGAAATAGAGGTAAACAATCACCACGGTATCAGAAAACTAAAAAGAGCAACTCAAGTTTATAACAACAATAAACATGAATATTTCAGACTAACCTGAACCGAAGTCAAGTTGGCAATGGGAATGTTTCATTGACCAATGGTTATCTGCCAGACCTGACCTCTGTAAACTCTAGTCAAAGACTCCACCACTGAAAGTTTGGAAAATGATGGTCAATGTGTGGTCTTGGCTGCTTCATAGCTGAAGAGGTCAGGAAGAGTGATGATGACCTGCTGGGTGGTCAGCTCATTCTGTTCGGCATTTTAGAAGCGGTGGTTAGGACACAAAAGGAAAGGAAGCTCGTGAGGCAAGTAAACAAGGGAAAAATAACTGACTTTATTAGAGAGGAAGAAAAAAGCACCAGGAAAATAGTAAAACTGTGGTGTAGTGAAAAATGAAAGATAACATAATAAACTGAATATCTGTTGAGCACAGAGCCAGCCCAAACACAAACCAGGAAACACAACAAACAAAACCTGGAAAATGTATGTGGAAACAGTTGAAGGAAAACAAAGGGCAGATACGGTAATTAGGAAACTTAAAGCGAAGCGGCAGAAAGAGATGAAAACAAAGAAAAGTCGTTAGACATGGAAAAAGAGCAAACGAAACAGAAAACCCCAGATAAACCTGATCCTAACACAGCAACGCATGGGATTCAAATTAACAGAAAACATTGAAAGAGAAGCCAAACGGCAAAAAACCCAGACACCAGGACAGCTGAAGCACTCACAGACTCATTCAGAGCACTGACTATGACGGCCTAAAGAGGTCAAAGTAAAGCAAGTTCAAAGGTCCATTCAGTAACATAAATTCAAAGAGATGTTGATTTTCTGTTGTTTTTTTCTTGTTTTTTCGATTAGTTTTAAGTTCGTTTGTGGTTTTGATGTGTAATTTTATCAATACTGAAAATAATTTCCATACATTTATCCCATGTATATAATCTATCCTCGGTTATTAAATTCTCACTTTCACGTGTACCATAACTAAACAAAAAGAGTAAAGGTTCAGCGTGAATAGAAAAGATAAATTAATCCCATGAAGAGAGCAAAAGGAATATGTAAAAAGAAAAAACAGGAGGGAATGTGGGAAGTGTGGACGCAATCAAGCATGAAAGACAGAAGGGACAGCCACCCACCGTCTTCAGTAAGTCAGAGGACTGAGGGGGGATTTAGGTAATGGAATAAGATGTCATGTTAGCCTGAAGAAAGCAGGTGCAATCACCTCATCTGTCAGGAATACATATAGCCAGGAGAGGGCTGCACCTTTGCTGCTCAGGTGCCATTCCTCCGCTGATGGAAAGTGAGAGGTCAGTGAAAAACTCAATTACTTCTCAATCAATTTGAGTAGTTTTGTGAACTAGCAAAGGCCGCTTGAGGAAGACCGGACCGGAATTGCTTTTCATGCAAAATGCTAGCTTGCATAAATTATTTCCATCTCATTTTCAAACAGCTTACATCTGCCAAGAGATTCGCATTACCTGGGGAAAATTGTGTCCAAACTTTCCTAAATATGCAAAGTTTTTTTTATAATGTTCCAGCTTCATAAGATGGAAGTGAATATATGGAAGACACGAGGTGAATTAAAAAAAAACTCACAGTGAAGGAGAACCTTGCATCAAAGTATACTGAGCTGTCACAAAACCCCCACAGTATGTCAGCATTACACAAAACTTTTCAATGAATTTAAATCATGTAACAAAACATCAACTTTCACAGACACATTTACTTACTTCAACATTTATAATTAAATGCTGCACTCTAATTTTTAGATTTTAGTTTACAAAACTGGTTTTCAAAAACCTGAAGCAATAAAGCTACAACTGATAATTTCTTTGAAAAAAACTTTCTTACTTTCTCTGAACTTACCACTGGTGAGACATTGATCTATCAATATTTCCATGTGAAACAAGGCCAAATAGGCTTTACAGAAGACCCCTCAGCCATCGTTTTGTGTGCTTTCCACGTAAAAGAATTGATCATGTGCTACAAATCTTACAGCAACACAAAAAGGCTCTCAGCAACCAAAAAAAGCGTTCAGAGGTGTTCGATCACCTTAAAAATTATCATAAAACAAACAATCATCAGTATGCCGTGCATCTACAGTCTACTGCGTTTTTGCAACCAGTAAAGTGAGTGGGGAATAAATCTGTTTGGGAAATAGAGGGTAACACTGATTAATGTACTCATTTAGGACTGTCGGGACAAGCCTGTTACAGAATGAAGAATAGCCCAACTACCCCGGCAAAGATTAAGATTTAAATGTTAATTTGGGCCATTTGGACACAAAACTGAAATGGATGATAATAACAATGGATTGTCATTATTATCACCATCATATGGAATCATAAGAGTACAAACAAACAAGGAAATCCACACGAGGATATAAATGATTGGCAGCAGAAATTTGTATGTGCAGAGTTATGGACAGCTTGTTTCTGCTTTTTGGAGGCTGCTGCACAGGTGTGCCAGAAGAATGCATCCCTGTGCACAAAAACGTCGCTGTCTGAGCTTTCCGTGGCAACTCACACCTGTGCAGCACTGTCAGGAGAGCGAGTCATCCGCCATTCCGTTTCATCAAAACACACACCTTTTTTCTTTGCGATGAGGATACACATGCCCTTCTTTCAGTCCTTTTAAGTCAGAGCCACTTCACTGTCTTTGCCTCCATCAAGGGTTGTCTTTCTCTCAAGCGCCTCTCATCTGTGGCGCACGCATTCAAAGCAGTCCATGTTTATTTCCCTCTTCGCGCTGCTTCTCTCCACCGTCCCCGATAATATCTTGTTTAGATAGATCTTCATTTCCCCTTCAGGTGGGTTCATGTCGGAGGATAGCAGAAATTACGCGAGTAAGCTTTGATGTGTGGTAAATGTGCTGACCATGTGTGGCCACATTTGACCCAGATGCACACACACTGGGAGTTGTTTGTGCTTCAAGATGCCATCGGAGAGAAAGAGACTTTGATGTCTGCAAAGCTTCAGGAACTTTCACCACATAAGCCGCCGATGTCCTCAGATGAGACTTTCTTTTCGATTTTTGTGGAGTTCAAGCCAAAGTCTTGTGGAGGTCAGGAGGGTAATGCCCCCGTCAAAAAGTTTAGCACTTACTGTTGCCCCATGTCAGGGAGCTTTCGTGTCAGTACAAATCAGAGTCGTTCAGGTGTTTACAGCTTCAGAAAAATGGAGAAATGAAAAATCATTTATCATCATTTGGAGATTTTTTTATACTTGTCAGACATTGAAGACAATAAGGTCTGTGTCAGCCACAATAAAAAAGGCTGACAAATGTGTTCGAACTGTTTAAATTTTGGCAACACAGTGCTACACAGAATGATTACATAACTTTGGCATTTCTGCCACAATAACCTCCATTGAAAGTTGCTTTAATATCATTATGTGGATAAGGCACATATATCCATTAAAACAAATCTGCACCAGAAGTGTGGCTTGGTAAGAATATGGGAATATTATGAACAGACCATAGCACAATGCAACCTGATGAAATATATATACAGTGATTTTTCTGAAATGTTTGTGCTTTTTGCATTTCTTCTATATATATACTTTATTAAATAGTTTGATCTAATGTGAAAACAGATTTTAACATTTTTACAGCCATTATTAGTTACACATTCAATTAAAAAACAATTTAATATGGCCTGGAAATGATAAGAAGTCCAAATCCAACCTGATGGCATGTATGATGCAGATACAAGATATAATTCAATTTACATCATGGCACAATAACGGTGTCATCACTTTGTACTACTAGGGTTATTTTGTAATACTATGGTATTATTTCCCCTCCTGGTATGTTGAACATGATCATCTAAATTCAGATGTCCTTTAATCTAAACCCTGTGCCCAAATCACGTGGGCTAATTTGCTATTGGTTATTCCCTCTGATTAAAAGTTTTTTCACAATCGCCACAACATGGGAGATAGATCTATCCGTCTTTGAATCATTTTAAACCTTAATCAAAACAAGTTAAAAACTTTTTCACAACTTTTAGTATTTATATCCAAAAGTCAGCATGTGTCATTCAAATGTTACCCCACTTGTCTCTGTGTAGTTTGACATTTAGCATTCATCTGTGTTCAACATGGTTCCTTCCATGATCTCAAACAAATTGGCACCAGCGACGGTGAAAAGTCTATTGAAACTGTTGGGATTTCTAACAAGATAAGGATTTCTTTGTAACATAGAAAAAAATATTAACTACGGGGCTGTGCAAAGTTGACAAACTGGGGAAGAAGTTTTTCTACAGCTTATTCTTTGTAA